TGTTATTCAGTCCTGTGAGCTGATCGAACTCTATCCATCATTCTGCAATGTGATCAACAAACTAGGAGGCTTAGCATTGCAGTATATTTTAATAGGCGTTAGTTGGTTGAAGATAATCGGTAGGAAGCCCCGCCCCACTAAGGTTTTGTATTTGTTGACACTCGTCAGTAAGATGTATCTGAAACCCTGAGGGAAGTGATTTTTCTGTGAGATTCGTAATCCGCATTACCTAGCATGATAGTCAGAGACTTTTCCATTAAGCTATACTACAGTCTTCTGATATATAGTGTAATAGTATTTCACTTCTTGAAATATTTCTCATGTTATATATATATATATATATATATATATATATATATATATATATATAATATTATTATTTTTCCCTTGGGTTCCTAGTGGAACATATGGCTTCAGTTGCACACCTCCACTGCACTCTCTTCTCTTCAGTTCTTTCAACCTGACTCCACAACTGCCCACAAACTCGCATTTATTCCTCACACACCATCTCCTCCATGTCACCCTCCACTCAGACACCCAACTCGTCGTTCCCCATTTCGATTCCACTCGACGGCCTGACCTGGCTCGTGATGTCCTCAATCGGCCTTCTCAGTGTATGCTCAATCCAATCCAATCCAATCCATCTCCACTTTCTTCTGCATATTTGTTGGGTGATAGATTGTTGGTTGGTTCGTTGCCAACCAGAGTTCCCTGTTGCTTATTCTGATTATTCTGGCTATCGATGTGATCTTCAGTATCGAGTGAGAGAGTGTAGGTGGCAGTTGTTGATGAATGTCTATAGTTTGTTGGAAATGCTTTTCGTGACACGCCAAGTTTTTCAACCATATAGCAGTACAGCAGTACTAATATATATATATATATATATATATATATATATATATATATATATCGCATATACTTGTCAACTCAGCTGATAAGGGTTTACAAGTTTATTGAGGTAATGCTCTTCAAACGCCTGGAGGTGTCTTATGTCTCCTATCCTTAATGGCCATGTCTCACATTCATATAGTAGGACAAAGCAAACTTCTTCGTAGTGCTATCAGATATCTCGTCAGTACTACGATTGTCATCAGTTGGCAATAGCGAATCGATCTTATCGGGTGCCGACCTATCAGGATTGACGTAAATTCTTACTAAATTGTACTGGCCAACGCATTCAAACTACTTTACTCTCTCTTGTCAAACAGGATATCTACGCAAACTACTCCTGATGCAAAGGTGTCTATTTCGGAACCGAAAAACGCTTCATCAACACTTTCAAACCGCCACTCACCGTATTCAGAGTGTCCTAAATCTTTCAGTTTACTCACGTCTGTGAAATGTGACGTCCGTGTATTCTTATTCAGCTGAAAAATCTCATACAGGAAGACTAATTTTGCAAATCCGAAGAAAGGTAGAATGTGTAACTTCCATTAATACGTTTCTGACAAACTTACACAAAAACGGAGAGTCATTTCGACTATCTGAGATAGCCGTGGTTCGGCAGAGTAGTATTTATACTAGGTGATGATTGAAGATGGAATTAAAACTTGGACCGTGGCCAGATTCGAACCAGCGACCACCGGGTTACCAGCTCGGTGCCCTATCAACTGAGCTACGAAGTACGACTGCTGACTATGCTCACCATGAGTTTTCCCTGACTACCATGGTGATTGAAGTGAAATAAAAATCTGGTGAGCAGTTAGACCTCGTAGCTTAATTGGCAGAGCACCAAGCCGGCAACCCGGTGGCCGCTGGTTCGAATCCGGCTGCAGTTCAAATTTTCATTTCACCTTTAATCACACCACCCAGTATAAAAGATAGAGAAGTTAAAAGCGTTACCTGTCTCATCTGCAGACATCATTCAGACAGCTTTTGAGCTACTTCGGCGTAAATAAAAATTCGTCAACAAAAATCGCTTCACCCCGAAAACATAAATCTAATGTGTGTTTCTTACATTGTAATGATAGTTAGACGTTTTGCTGGAATCGAAGCAAAGTGAGGAACCTAAGAATATAAAATATTTTTTTAACTGGCTAACTTGATTGATCATATGACACTAATCATATCTGTCACATTTCACAATGCGTTTCCTTATTTGTTGCGTCCTTGTCAAGGTTATTTTTGACCATTTATGCTCAGGTTTGTGGGCATGGAGGGTTCTGTCATTTCTATTCATTTTGTTACAAGATGTATACCTCCCGAATTTTCTGAAGTGAATTCTGTTTAATCCCATTTCATTGAATAAATATTACGCACTTTAGATAAGTGCAAAAGTAATGTTTTAATTGAGTAGTACAAAACTAGCAATAAGGCAGAGTTTGTTTGGCGATAAATTTTCCTGAGTATTAAGATGCTTAAGTAATGCGATAATGCGATAATACCGGGTCATCATTCATGTCAGTGCGTGTGTATGTTCGTGTTGTGAACCAGTTCTTGTCTACGAAATTAAGCCTACTGTGTCTAGTGTGTTGTAATTTCCCTTGTCAGCTCAAAGACAAATACTAAGGGAAAACTTATTGAGACATATATAGATGTTGTCATTTCGTCGTTGTGGTCGAAATTTACCAGCCTGTACTAACTTGCACTTTTTGTACCTCAATATCCTACCATAACATGAAAGTCAATTGTAGAGTGGTTGCGCTAAAAACTGGTATTACGACGTGAGTCTGAGGGTGAAACTGTCAGACAGATAGACAAAATCAACGTAGAACTTTGCAAATAAGTACATCGATTTAATTTGCCACACTTCACAGTAGTATAAGAAGATTAAGTGGTTAGAAAGAGGGTGACACCAAAGTAAACAAAGGTTAGTAAAAACATTCAAGCTTTAGAAGATATCAAATAGTGAATACTTCTGCGCCTCTTTAACCGATTTTCAGCCACTTCACCAAGAGTCCTCAACCACTGGTTCCCATCTTCTTGGAGACCCCAACCAAGTAGTTTACATCTCCCTACACGGCTCAAACTAGTTGTCAGAGACCTTATTGACTGGCACCACATCCTGATCTAGTCATCGTGTTCCCTCTTACAACCTAATCCAACTTCCACTTGCATGATACGTTGAGGTGGGCGGTGGTTGGCATGCGCAGCACATGTCCAAGCCATCTTAGTCGATGAGAGTTATCGACCTCATCGGCTGACTTACCTTCTTTGTCTAGTACCCTTCATCTGACCTTTACATTTCTAACATGGTGATCCCACTATAAGTGTGCAGCGCTAAGACATCTGTGATCAAAAACTTGTTTTCTCTTCATAACTTCTACTTTCAACAGCCATATCACACAGCCGTAGGATATGACAGAGAGGACTACTGAGTAGCATACTCATTCGTTAACACGTACTCGGATATCTTATCGGCACCTGAGGTGAAGTAGACTGGTGAGTGCTAAACGTACCTTCTGTATCTGAGCTGAGATTTCGTCAGCAACCAGCCCGTCTAGACTGGTGCAACTCCCCAAATAAGTGAAGTGGACTACAGGTTCCACCACTTCATTACATATCCATAAATCGTGAGTATTTGCAGACCAGTCGTCGAATATTATCTTACAGTTGACAAGTGCGAGACGCATGCCAAACACACTCAGTTTTTTACTATGGAATGCTTCAGTAGTTTTGTTTTGGTAATGTCCCGCTCATGCAATCATCGTTTTCAGCTATTCTACTCGTTTTCATTAACAAAACGAAGTTAAGAAACTGCGTGGTACATCATACCTCACAACATTTCTGACCGGTGGTAATGTTTCTTATAGACTGAAGCCGAATCCCTTCGCTACCGATTCCAAGCTGATGTTCGCTAAGATAAATAACCGAGTAAGCTTTGATGAGTCGTATTTAGCAAATATTAGTTTACTTTTAGATGCTTTATGAGATAATAACTCATCCACTGAGTTAAGATTCTTCTACATTCACCACTCTATCGCCTAACATATTTTAAAGAATCTATTTTAATATGCGGCAGTCTATTGCATTCTGTTTTAAAGTTATTAGATATATGTCTGGCACTCAGAAACCATACAAGTGCTGCAAGTTGCCTTCGGAGAGATATTAGGTTAATCATAGAGTAAATAACGATGGTGTCAAAGTAGTCTATTCGATGCTACTATGAAGGTGCATTGATTGAGATCTCCAGTGTATTTACTATACATACTGGATGTCTTCCCCTGTTAACAAAAATGATTGCTATATTAGAAGTGGAGTGTGAAACCTGGAGTTTAGTCAGTCAACAAAATAATGCCAATCTATAAGTTCAAGCACGTTAGTGGGAAAAAAGCAGAGAAGTGCAGCTGTCTCGTCTAGGGTTTGAAATGTTTTACCACTAGCTACCACTAGCTACCTGTTGATTAAAATGGCTCGAATTTCTTAAGTGTTTGTCTTCCTGTAAACAGTTGGCATCATTACATCCTATGTTTACATTCACTTTGTCATTCATTTTCTTCTTTCAACCTCTATCGATGTTCTTCTCTTCTTGCAGTTTGATATGTCTCTAAAAACAGAGACAACTTGGACTGATGTACTACTCCACTCTTTTCAGGGTGGTGTCAGCTATATAACCACTGAAATCCTGGGGGGGGGAGTGTTTTACAGATGTTTCATCTTGGTTTTAGACTCTACAGTAGTGTCTATCGATGTCTTCCAGAGTGATCAATCCCAATACTATCACTTCATGTGGCAAATGCGCTAACACGAAACTTCTAGGGCTCGAATCCCATGGTCAAGTCTTTCCAAATTCTGTCAGTTCTAACAGTAATAATCAGGGCATCCTAAAGAATTCTAGCTGCTGTTATTGTTATCGCCTGGAGCTCTTAGAATTCTAGCAATTTTCTAACTGACATCAATTTATGTGAAAAGTGACTTGAAATCAATCAGTCCCAACAAATCTTTAATTTACTTGCTTATTCGCATCACAAGTTTTCAAGCAAGTAGATAAGTATGACTATAGTATTAGGACTTCATTAACTTATGGGTAATCATTTGCATCCTGGATTAACTTTTTTCAGTTTCAACTTCCGAAAGTTCAAAACATACTGTTGAATCATCAAAATTGCAGTCAAATATTGGAGAAGTTTCTTCGTCTGGACAGAAGGACTGTTTATTGAACAGTCATGATACTGCAGAAGTAGACAAAGGAAATATGAATCGAGTAACTTTAAAGTAGGTAAAACAAAATGTAAAGTTTTATTTTTCTTGGTGGCTAGCAATGATATTCAGAAAGTGCATTTCGTCCCATTTGGGATTCGTCAGCTGGATATGCCTGTATCCTGTTATTGTTCCCAGTACCTATCGCTTTAAATACCGAAGCTTTACTTACTAGGTCACTGGGGCAGCGGATAACAGATTTCGTTTATTGATACTTGTACTTTCCCGTTGCTGTACTAGGTTGAATCGCTCGGCCTCCATTAGCAAATGACCTCCTACGTGGATGCTTTGATACTATCGAATATTCATTATGTTGTGTTCTTTTTAAAGCTACCAAATCAAACAATAAACGTAATATTTTGTAATGATCTTTATCAGGCTAACTCAATTTCTATCAACAACGTCACTGCATATCTCAGTAATTCATTCTATTCTTACTCACCAGCTTATACAAATCTCTAGAGGAATCATTTGTAAACCACAGCGTTTTCTTACTGATGGTAATCTATTCTTCGTAAAATGGATTATTGCTCAAACAATGTTCTTATATTCACTGTTGAGTGCTACATTTATATTTCTAGTCGGCTGGCTACATAGTACAAATTTCTGACCTAGTTTTGCTGTTTAGCGGACTCAAGCCTGGTGATTTCAATGAGTCTTATTATTATTATTAGTCCCTTGGGTTCCTAGTGGAACATAGGGCTTCAGTAGCACGTCTCCAGTGACCTCTGTTCTCTGAGATCTTTTGAACCTGGTTCCACGATAGCCCACAAGCTCTCATTTCCTCCTCGTACGATCTCCTCCATGTCACCCTTGGACGTCCAACTCGTCGCTTCCCATGGGGATTCCACTCGAGTGACTGGCCTGACGCGTGATGTCCCCAGTTTGTCTTCTCAGTGCATGCCCAATCCATCTCCACTTCCTCCTGCATATTTGTTGGGTGATAGGTTCTTGGTTGGTTCGTTGTCAGGCCAGAGTTTCTTGTTGCTCATTCTTTCTGGTAATCCATCTGATCTTCAGTAGCGAGCCAGCGTAGGTGGCAGTTGTTGATGAATGTCTGTAATTTATTGGAAATGCCTTTCGTAACGCGCCAAGTCTCTGGACCATACAGAAGCACTGACTTGACGTTGGTGTTGAAAATCCGGATCTTGTTCACGCTTTATGCTGAGTTTCAGGTTAATGGTTTCAGGCTAATGAACGCCTGTCTTGCTTTTCCGATTCTGACTTTGACATCCTCGTCTGTGCCGCCTGTAGTTGAAACAGTGCTTCCTAGATAAGTGAAGGAGGTTACTTCCTTTAAGTTTCTCCCGTTGATGGTGACTGGAGTTTGTTGTTGTTGTTGGAGTTGTTGGTGTGGTATCTTCATCACCTCTGTCTTCTCTATATTCACTTGAAGTCCCGTCTTAGCTGCCTCTTCTATCAACTTGTTAGTTTTCGCCTGTAGATCTTCAAGTTTATGTGACATCAGACACAAGTCATCGTTGGCGAAATCCAAGTCTTATAATGGAGAAAAAAAAAGGAAAGATTTAAATTCTAGCTTAGTATATTTTAGCTAATTATTGATTCTATTTTTGAAGACAATTTACTGATGAGTTTCTTTAGAGCATTATTCTCTAACCATTTCAGTGTACCTTCTTACAATCCGTTGGTTATTGTTTTTAAGGATTTATCACTGAAGGGTAATAATCAATTATCTATAAATTATTCCCCTTATTTTATAGCCTAAATGACTATAACATTACATTAATGGTAAATTGGATAGATTAAAGATTTGAAATAATAGAGAATATTTGTAGCTCAGGTGGATGGTCTTGGTTTTATTGTGTTCTCTGAGCTCAGAGAATATAATATAACCAAGATTGAAGATTTCTTGCATCGTTTTTAATCAACTGAGTGACTCAAAAGTACGCAGAAGTACAGCTATATTCAGGCTATCAGGTATATGTGAATATACACTCACGTGAAAGTGTTAAGGCCATATTTGTAATTATCTTTAACATCACACGATATGATTTATAATAGTCTATTTACCGCTAAAACAACATACAGATGCTACGTTGTAATCTTATTATCCTTTAGGTTTTTTTTGAATTAAATCTGCTTCAGCCTACATAGCGCTTCGAGGTGGGTGGTAGGTTAGCATTTGTAACATATATACCAGTCGCCCACGCTAATGAAGTTCCATAATCTCATTAACTGAATTACCTCTTGATGACGTGGCATCATCTGAGCCAAATGTCTATATCGTGAAGTGTTTTCATTGTTTCCCTAGGCAACATCATTAGTTTTAACTTATGTATGAATTGAGTTACGAGGATTGGTTTAATAGTGAGGTGTAATTGGCAATATTTTTCTCTTTTTTGTCATTGACTTAACATATTTTTGTATATTAGGTGGGAGGAGCAGTCTGTGAGTTGCTTCTCTGTCTAACCTCTGATCTTGTACTCGCTTGTTATATTTCTTATTGCTCAGTAGATTGAATCAATGTCTATACATCTGTTCAATCCTGATTGATCTGGATATCAGATTACTAGAAATTCTCTGGTATTCTTCATATTTTCATTTACCGAAATCTCTACATTTTCAAAGTCTAATTTTATGGCCATACCTGTACACGTTGGCATCAAAGATGAAATATTATGAAGCGTAATTGCTAAATGATGTTCATTTAGACGAAGATGAAGAGATTGTCCAGTTTTTCTAGTGTTGAATTTGTCTTACATGTTTCAGCTGATTTTCTATATGATATTTCATATATCCTCCTCAGTTGTTGCATCCTTTGGTTTGCATAATATAACTTGGAGAGAATTACTGAGACTATGAATAGTACTGATTCCAAACAACCTCAGTAGTCTTATCTTGATCTCTGATAAACCATTTATGTATGTCGTATTAATCCGTTCACTGATTTCTATGGATGACTTTATAGTTGATAGTAAATTGTACAAGTATCTGATGAAGTTGTATGAGTAGCTGTTCTAATTTTGAGAATCCCTTGAAGAGTTTTCTTTTCTTTATGAGTTGGTTACACTGTTGTGTTTTCACTCTGTTAAATGAAGTCTGATGTATGTTGGCTTCCTATACGCTTAGTTTCCCATTTTCTATGTTGATTCCACTGAAGAAAACATTCAGTGATGACATTACGTGAAGATCCTGACAAGATGGAGCGTCTTATGAACAAGTTGAAAATAATTTGAGTGTTTGGGATGTATTTTTCATGTCCAAAATGCAAATGGTTACTTCATGACTGGTCTGCATTAATATCTTGTCTAAAAATACTTTGGTAAGTATACTTTCCTTGGAACTTAACCCTCGTAAGTCGCTGACCGCTGGGATGTTATCACAGATACAAAAGATTTGATTTGCTTTTGTGCAAATGCAATGCGTAATTGTCTATAAAGGGTCGAATGTACTGCACTTCAGTACACTCTACCTCATGACTATGAAATATAGCCATTGAAAGTAGAGGGTATGGGAAGGATTCACGTGGTGGACTGCTGTTGTCTTTGTGGTGCAGGTCATGTGTCATGCAAACGCTGGGTCATTGATGCAGAAGTCAAGCATAGATTTCCAGGTAAAAGTAGAAAGTCAGTTGATGAGCTTGTAAACTCTCATCGACTCACGTTACTAAGACGTGTGTTACGCACGCCTAGTCTCCATCTACTCTAATGTGCGGTGTTAGCTGAAGTACGTCCAGACTGAAACAAGAAATCAATCCCTTGATTATTTGACTGTTAATCTGAGCCGTTTAGGGAAGTGTAAACTTCTCAATTAGAGTCCATGTGACAACAAAAGCCGGTGATTGGAAATTGTAGATGATATGCTTCAGAATTAATATCACTAAAGTGGAGATTCATGACCACAAAACCTTTATCCTAATCTTTATACCATATTTTTATTATTTTCTAGGTCTTTTATTCTCTCTCCTGCTGACTGTCTATGACTTTGGACGGTATTTTTTAAATATTCCTCTATCCTTCATGTTAGTATCTTTTATTTTGATGGCAACTTGTATGGTTGTAAATTCCTTTATCAGCAAAATTCTGATACCCACTGGCGATTAGATCAAGAGGAAGTACTATTTTCATAGTTTTCTTTCAGCTCCTCAATAAGTCAACGAGGAGAGTTTGTTCAACTTGTTTGTTTTCTTCTCGTACTTTATATTTCTTTTGATTGCATTCACTTATCTTCATCCTTCGCCTCACTACCTTTTTACTTGATGTGCTGATATGAGGTGTGGCAACTCGGACCGTTGCGCAGTAATACCTGGTCCTATGTTGATAATGATGATGATTGTTGAATAAGAATTTGTCAAATGAAGACCAAATTGTTTTCCTTCTCATCTATTTTTATAGAGATCTAGTGAAATATTTACAAAATACAAATAATTGGCCAAATGAATTCTATATTTATCATGTTTTAAATAAATCCGTCAATTCTAACAACAGTTTTAGCAATGATAGTCAAGTAAATAAAGCTGCAAAATCGAATTTTAATTCTACTAAACAAACAAATACTTCAACGAAGGTGAAGTCACATCGTTCGAAATTCTTCAGTCGTAAATTATCAGTCAATTGTGAATTAGTCTATCCTGAAGATTTTCTCAAATTTGAAACGGACAAAGTTCCCTTTGACTCTGTATGGATTGTATGGTCGAGTAGTTGTATGTCAGGCGAGACAGCCGCTCTGATATTACTGCGTAATCTGTCTCAGGTAATCTGAATCAGTACTGTTATCATTATTATTAGTTAGCTCATATCTGTTGTTTGTGTCCCCATACTGCCATCTAAACTGTTTTTCAGAATGTTTTATTGATAAGTCTCAGTAATGTACTTCAGAATTGTTACATTCAGGCAATACCGCTGTAACAAGCCATCTGTATTATATTCCTTGAAGTGACTGGTACCATAATTTCGGATTGTGATTGAATAATGGAAAATAGCATGTGTAGCTTTAATAATGTAGCTTCAATAAAGCAAATATATTCAGGATCGTGCATTAAGCAATGAAACAATGTAAACTAAACTTTAGTGACGGCCAATCACGTTGAAGCATGAACTGACCAATCAGAACCAAATATATGAAGGATAATGTAGTTATTAAGGGAAATGATATTTTATTTGCAATTTGTAAATCTGTTTGACATGAGAAGTAAAGATATCTAAGTTTTTAATATGTTTATCATTTCTGAAACCATACCATTGTCTATATCGCCACTCATCCACATGAGATCATAACGTATCTCCTCGTGATCCTGGTAAAGGTCTTAGAAAGTCTCTAAGACGACTCCACATATTTTCAGCCTTGTTCATCTGCCGTTTAGTTGTCAGATCAATAAGTTGCTTTCTGTGTACAATAACTTGATGGGGATGGCCCATTCCTAGATTACGACATGTACGACTTCCAATAGTCCGTGTATATTATGGTACCCCATGCCATCCGTTTTTTTCTATAACTGGTAGGATAGATTATTCTGATCTATCCTTTATCAAGTGAAAGTTTCCTTTCTTCGTATTTAGCTTGTATTTAACAAGAATCTGTGGTTTTTCAAGACATATGTATGCAACTTACACAGTCCTGTTTAAGTCGTCTTTCTCGATTCCATATATTTTCGGAACAAGACATCCATCTACTTCAAATGCATTACCTGCTCCACTAAACTTTACATCAAGCCTGAATATTATTTTGAGACCAAATATCTCTGCAGCATTGAAGAAAGTTCAACAACAGTTGTCAGAGCTCCTGGTGATATAGTATATGTTCTACAATCCATGAAATGATTCTGTTCTCAAAGATCTTTTCTCACAGCAGTTGGGGAAACGAAAGATGAAACCGTATCCCTCCTCCTTGTTAGGTACACAATCTATAACAAAACTACATTCACAATTTAGGCTTCTTGCAAACAATCCAACTCTGTGCCAGTAACCTACAGCGTAGTTTTTGTCATAATTTGTCAAACATGTTTATGCAGTATCAGCAATACGTTAGACGGACTTAACGAATGACCTTAAATTCAGGATCTTCAACCTTATTGGTTGTCCTCAAAGTTTCCCATCACTAAAACTTAGTTCTACCAAAACATCTATTGTATGAGGGCCGATTATGCTCTCAAGCTGCTCAAATCTAGGTAGGTTAGACAGATTTTGAACGCACGACCTAGTGGGTGAAAGCTGAGTGGCTAAACGAATCAATCGCAATTCTAGTATGATGCAATTTGACAGGCAACCGAACGTACAGATGACGAATACCAGCAAGCACTAAATCTGGATCGAGCAAGGCTTCTTATCGATTACCATTTCGATAATCAGCCATTGAGCAATAATAACTTATATATGTTTCATTATTATTTTGCAGATGGAAAGAAGTATATTGTTGGAAAGAGACAGTCTACGTGTAGAATACAACATCGTACTTGAACAACACAAGCGTGATCGTGGATCTGAATCTCCAGTGACTTCACTTACTACTAAAACACCGGAAATCTGTGACCCAGGCAATCAATCCAATCAACCTATTAAGGATAAAAGCAGTTGGTTATGGTGGCGAAGTCGCAAAAACCAAAGTGAAGTTAGTTCTGATTTGGGCTCTCAAGATTTAGTTTATCAAGATACATCGCATAAACAAGCTGTACAGTCAATTTTACCTCCGATTGATCTGGGTATTTCTAGTCCAGTTGCTGTCCAGGAAGAGTTTGATCATGAAAACTATGAACAGTAAGTTTTGTTATCCTTATTGTTGTTCTTATGTTGAAGTTACAGAATAAAAACTCGAAACTAGCAGCTTACAACCAGATTTTGAACCCCCAATCGTAATATCTAGTGAGATATTAGCTGTGACTGCCGTTCATATTTTGTACTTATAAGCCCTTGATTCTGACCTCAAACAAACCGAAACCTAATTCTTAAATCTAATCCAACAGAAAGCCATCACATTACACTGTTTGGTGATTCTGACTGTTTGTTTTCTAAAGTCATTTAGTAAGCTTTTGATTTGAGTCGATATTCTTGAGCTTCACTACCCTTATTACAACTACTTAGCAAACATCTACTAATGCAGTAGATGAGGTTTACTAGGAAGCATATCAAGATTAGTATGTCTAGAGCCTGGCGTACGCCGAAGATAACTAAGTTGAATCCTACCGCTACTCAGGTTTTTCATGAACCCTAGCTATTTGTGTGACAATTAAAGCTTCCCTAAGCAGTTTGACATAGTAACGACCTACGAGTTTGTTCGCCAAGTTATTCGCGATACCTGTTTTGTGAGGGTTCAGAACATCATCTGGCTCCCCAAGCCTCAGTAAACGAGGGGATTCGGAATCATATCCCTTGTCACGTAATCGTACTACTAAGCTCTTAGTGCAAGGGTACTATGTCATCAGCAGACCGTCGTTACACTTATCTATAGGAATTCTATATTCATATAAGTGGTTTTCTTCATCCTACCAGCCTTATTGAACAGGTGTGAAACAGAACTATGGACAAAATAACGCTACACCATTTCAAAATGTTACAGGTCCGAAATATCTTGATCAAATTGATTTCGGTGAATATTTAAATTGTCCTGAGATTTTTTAAAATTTTCACAACTGACTACTGTGTTTATGAATTTATGACACAGCTTTGTTTCAATCAACTGAAGTTATAGGTTCTCAGCTAAGGAGCTTGACTTTAAGTCAGTGGATTGCATACAGAGTCGAGTCCTAATACACCTAGCAAGCTTATGAACATCCAGTGAGAATCATCAGCCGCCTAATAGTGTGTATGATTCCCAACCCACTGTACGCACCTCTACATATCTATTGGGCTGCATTGCAAATATTAGATATGAACTGATATAAAATGCCCTTAAATGTGAAAGTACTTTGAAGATTTTTGAAAAAGAATGTTTATAATCTGAAGCAACAGAGTGAAAGTGACTGATATGAAATACTAGAACGCTACTAACTCAATGAAACACTCAGAATGGATATGAACTGCGACTGTTCTCCTTCAGACTTGACAATTCACTGAGCCGTGAAGATCAGAAGGTAAACACCGGCCTGTGACTGTAGAGAAGACAACTTTATTTTTTAAAAATCACATCACTTACAGTTTTTCCTCAGAAAATAAAGCCACTAGGTTAGAAATTGGATACTTGTTTTTGATTAGTCAACTGAAAGACAAATTTATCCAATAAGATTTTTCCCACCAACACAGTAACATGAAACAAGATTGAAATCTGAAACTTTGACTTTACCCGTTGATGATTTAAAATATTAATTTCTGTCAACGGTGCTTTAAATCATAACTTCATTGGTAGAAAGTTCTACACGAAAATATTTTCCGTTTTTCTAAATTGTATAAAAATTTGAATGGAGCTGTGAGCATTAGACATCTTATCAAGAAAAATTATGAAACAATTAGTCTCTTTTATGAATTTGGATAATATAATTAGAAGACGTAGATTGTCTGAACAACATGTGATGTATTAGCGCTGTACATTTCGAACAATCTGATCACACATTTACTTGTTAAGGCATTATATATGAAAACTGAAAGTGGGGGAAGGACACAATGACATAAAGGAATTCAATAATAAGAAAGATAATGAGAGGAATAAAAGATAAGACTTGAAGACAATCTTGGTAATACGATAAAATAAGCATTACCAAGGTAGGCTTAATGTAAGGACAAACTGTTTTTGCACACACAATGGGGGGTTAAATTTATTTATGGCTAGTGCCTCAACAAACTTAAGTATACGTCCCTGGCAGTTTCTGTACAGAATTGTAAAGGCTGTCTTGATATCAATTCTGTGACTCTTAACAATGATATGTTTTGCAATGGATGATGATGGTTGTCTGCCATCTGCGCTTATCAGTGTTTGTGAATCCAGCTGCTTTCGTAGCCACTTTGGAACATGTTCCCCTACCCTCAAGTGCATATCACGATTCGTCCTCCCTATGTATGTTTGTCCACACACACATGTAAATTTATAAACGCAACGGGATGTGACACAATCGTTTATACAGCGTTGAGGTCTAGGTGTTTGGTCTTCTCAACTATGATAAGCTTAGCTGCATAGTACGTTTTGCTAACAGCAGACCTTAACCTTCGTCTTAATATTATGCTATTAGATTCTCCTCTGTACGGTAACACGATGTAAACGCATTTCTTCGAAACAGAGTACAGATCAGGTTTGAATCCTCGCTGATTTTTGCAGCGGTTTATGAACTTCAATGGATATCCATTTTTTACTAATATTTCCGTTAGTATTTTAATATCATCATCCATTGAGTCCTCCGTACAAATTATCGTATGAGCGTTTTCGCTTGATTTGAAAGTATCTGCTTTATAATGACTGGAGGTCATTTAACCAACCAAACTTGCTTGATGATTTTTTCAACTCTAATTAACCGAGATATAATTGAAAATTAGAACAAATCTACCTAATGAAAACTATAAATATCTTATGAAATATTGAAGTTTCCTGCTTTTACTTTCATTGGCAAAGTTGTCAGTTTGGTCTGTTGTTTCGTCTGATGAGTCTCAAATAGGATGAACGCACACCGCAGATTTTTACTGTTAGCCACTCCGAAATATTTTCAAGATGACTTCAACGCTAATATTCTGGTAATACTAACCGTAATAGTATCAAAAGAAAAAAAATCACTTATCCATGCTAGTAAAGCTTCTTCCACTCAGTGTACGTGACAAAGATAAAGTTTAAATATGTTATAAGGTTAACAAAGGTTTCTGATAAGTTTATACAATTCATCATTTACTTGGTGGCTACCAGTGGAATCCAGAACACGCGTTTCATCCTATTTGAGACTGACCAGATGGATGTACCTGTACCCTAGTGAGTTGTTTCGTCCCCACCAAGACCCGAACCTAGTACCCACCTCTTCAAACCCCAAAGCACTATCCTTTAGGCAATGGAACATAAGTGCCACCTCCTATGCAATGGGCATCAATTCTTGTTTATTGATACTCGTAATTCCCCGTTGCTACACTGGGCTGAATTGCTCGACCTCCGTTGACAGATGGGCTCCTATGTGAATACCCCAATACTGCCTGGATATTCATTATTTGACGGTGTACAAGTATCAGTAAACAAAACCTGATACCAATTTCACAAGAGGTGGTTCTCGCTCCCCGGTGTCCTAGTTTATAAGGCTTTAGTGTTTGAAACGATGAGTTAGAGTCCGATTGGGAACAACATCACTTACATGGGTACATGAAGATCCAGCTGGTGAGTCTTTAATGGGAGGAAATGTACATTCAGGATTCGACTGATAGCCACCAAATTGATTACAGTATAATGAATAGTCGAACAGTATCTAGGCATGCATATGATAGCCCATCTGCTAATAGAGGTCGTGCGATTCGACCCAGTATACCAACGGGAAGTTACAACTACCATGGGAGATTCTGATTGACTCGCTTTTATTGAACATGGTACTATTTATGCAACTTTTTTACTGCAAGTTCTCTCTTGTAATCATTAGATGGTAATCTTTGTCACCATTCCACTTTTTGTTGGTGACTTGGTCGTATGTCATTGAAATTCGTATGCTTTATGGTGTAACGTGGTTTAATTATGTTTGGGCTATAGAGATTAACGGTAGTTTATAGTCCACTTTATATTTTAAACAACAAATACACGGGATACTAGTCAAACGTTACAAAGTAATTGAGAGAAGCGAAACAAAGATTGGGACCATAAGATGACGTCAGTGGATTGATTTATGTAAAGTGAATTATTCTGACTTTATGAGATTGACTTGAAAGTTCATAATCGTTAAAAATTGAGATCGCTGAGGTGATTGGTGCTATACTGTCCTCTTTACTGGTCTACTTCATTTACCTTGATCTGGTTAACTATCCATATTATCAATCAGTAGTCAATATTGTACAAAATTAAATCTCCTACCTGAAATCCGTCTTGTCTAAACGCACAAGTAGGTTGCTGACTGGTAGTTTACAGAAGTAGAAAAATGTAGGGCGTTGAATTCCAACACTAGCTAGTTGGTAATGTACTCACTACAAACCCCAACATTAAGGGTTTACATCTCCCATGGCGAAATGCCTGCATACAGCTAAGGAGATGGAAATCAGGACGAATCAGCTATCGAGTCCTCAAAGATTTTCAATAGTTCTTCAACTAATGTCAGTCGTTGAAGTTCTGACTCTTAAAGTAGGTTGATGAAGAGTAAGGTCATCTTACCAATGAAATATTAGATTTGTCCCCTTAGCCAGTTTAAAGTGAATATATTTGCTAGTCTAGTCCTCTGGGCGTAAAAGAGGTTCCATCGGGTTGAGCTGTCCAAATGATATTGATGTAGTGATGGCGAAAGTCTTTAATCCTGTTCTCCAACTGTTTTATTCTTTCTTCTTTTCACCTATCCACCCTACTGAAAACTTGCCCCTTTTTTGTAACTGCTTGTAGTAACGAACATTATTTAAACAGTCCTGCAACACTATCCAAAGGTGAATTATTAAATATACCAACAGCTACAATCCCTCGATATTCATCAACAATCGATGTTAGATATCGCAGTAATACACCTGATCCTCTACAGATACCATCTTCACCTGAAGAGGCTGGATACTTTTCTGATGAAGGGGATCATAATAGTGTATATCAAAAGCGAACTGGAGATATTGAACGTGGAATTTCTATTCAACAAGAAAATCATTTAACTTCAGAACAACTTGTAAGTTGTCGAAATCTTCGTACTGTGAAATTTTTTTCAAAATGTGTGTTACCGTTTGAGATGGACTTCAATATGATTGTGATTATCTATCATATCGATGTTTGTTCTCATAGCTTCTCCGGATTTTGTGATAGTCGAGTACGTTTCGTAATATATTTCATCTTCCTTGTATATCAGGTTATGTTGTTTTAATTGGTGAGAGTATTTTGATTACTTGCCGTCACTAACACTAGATAAAGGTTAGTCTCCTGTTCAAGCTGAAAATATTTTTTTTCACTGATGTCTGCTAAAACTACACTGACTGATAGTGTTCATCTCAATGATCTCCATAGTTAACCTATAGTTTCAAAAATTGGCACAGTTGTTTTTCTCGCAAATAAGTAGACATATCTGGAGTAATATTATAGAATTTCACAAAAATTACTGACTTTATTGATTCTCACTGCTGATGCAAGTTGTATCTCACACTTGGTTTTCATTCTAATCCAATCATCATTGCCTCCTCTCTTTCAATACTTTAACTATTCAGCTCTTCATTTCAGAAGAAATCTTTTGTTTAGTCAACGTAACTTGTCGGGGAGCTTTCATTTTTAGTCGACATCAATCAGAGAACCACTTAAAAATTGAAATTATTAGGCTTCTGTTTCGTCGTTGTGGGTTTTCTTAGTGTTTTTTTTACCAATGACCTTATGTGGGATAAGACCAATGACCGATCTTGGTTCACATTACTGACAAGTTCCAAACTAGAACGGAGCGGCTGTTCACTACTCTCAAGTTTTTGATTGTTCTGTGATTTATGTACAATAATCTTTTAGAATTCAATCTATTCAATACAAAATATTCAATATTCAGGATGAATATCTAACTCTCAATGTCAATAATTTGGCATTTCAGAATTCAGATCCTAATTTATTACATCGGTCCTTCACAATCGGTCATTACTTAAAATACATGATAGTTAAATTGTTCGTCTGTAACTAACGAAGTCAGGGGGGTAGAAAAAAAGTCAAACATCTGGAACCGATAGTTCGTTTACATTTCTCACTTACAAACGAATCCTCATTTAAATGCATTATAGACGTTATAAGCAGAAATTGTCTACTTTATGTTGAAATGAACTCTGTTCAGCCTCAGAGATATTTCAACCCAGCTAATAGAGCTCTACAGGATATTAATCTTGAAGACCCATGGTACAACTCAGATTTGAATGTAATTTTAATCATGAAACCATTTCATTGACAAACAGGGTTCCTGAATTGGGTAGCCTAAAAATACGCTTTTGTAAATTTGCATTCATTTGAACGAATATTAGATATACCGAGACACTGGTCGGTACTAATTCAAATAAGAATGCGCTATTAAAAGTTTTTAGGATAACCAAGCCAATACCAATAATGTTGAGACCAACCCATTCCATCGAGCAGAATAATCAGCAAGTGTCATTTGAATAACATGGGGTATCTGTCACCCAACAAATAGCTGTGATAACTCAGTAGTCTGATGAATAATCCTCTGATATTTCAAGTGATGTAGATATATCCATCTAAAGAGTCATATATACAACGATATGCGTGTCTGGAACTCTACACTAGTTACCACCAGCGAGCAAACTAATTCACAATAAAACGTTTGGTACAAATAAGTAATGATTTGAGCAACGTAGTTGCTAGCACACACTTCCTACAAAGAATCTTGGCAACACTCATGCAAGCTAAATAAGGTTTGTCAAATAGGCATCTGCTATCTTCATGCAATGCCTACTAAGTCGGAAGTCAACTGACTACTATTCACTAGAGGACACAAAAAATACCTATTTCCTGCTGCATTTATCAGCTTCACGGATTGCATTCCATGTAGAACAGACTGATAATAATAATAATAATAATAAAATTCATAAACCCACTGTTTAATTTTTCTCCTGTCGTTCCATCCTTAGAAAAGTCTCAATTTACACGAAGGAGCTAATGAAGCGGTTTTTTCTGTTGTCAGTAAATACCAAGGGACTTGTCAATGTGCATGTTTCATATATCTATGGGATTCATCCGATAAAATAGTGATATCTGATATAGATGGAACGATAACTAAGTGAGTGCAAACAATTTTCCTAGATAAATGTCTTCTCATAGAACTGCTTTTTATAAATAAATGTCTTCTTACAGTAGCGTTGAAAAATAGTGATTGATGTGCAAGTGGGTTATCATCTCAGTCTTAAGACTGACAAACACTGAAGCGTGTGTTCGAACCCCACTCTCACTACATAGGTAATGGAAACTTAGCATTATTACAAGCTTTCATACGTGTCAAATGTAGCTTGAAGTTCTCATCAGCACCAGGATAAGACCAGAGATAACTGAGCAACAGTCCAAGTTGCCACACTTTACATCAGTGCATCAAGTGACAAAGCATTATGAAGAAATATAAAGAAACAGAGTAGAAAGTAGTTATAGTGGTTGAAACTTGTGATAAGACAACAAGTAGGAATGAGTAAGTACTGAATTCACTATGAAGGTCAAGATGAGGACAATTTGTGAATACATCCGAGTCACTGAAATCGATTCTCATATATGTCACCTACAGTCTCTGGTGACCCTGGTTTCTGTTGTCACGTGAACCCCAGCCAGCAGGTCTACATTCCCTTACATGGATCACATCAACAACCAAAGTCTTCATGCACTGATGCGATATTTAAATCTGGCCACACGAGGTATAATGCACAAACACCTGTTAGCTACTGCTGTGCCTGACTTGCCTGTCTATTTCGTTGCACTTGCCAAATGGAAGTACGTAATATTTCTTGATTAAGATATTTGAGAGACTGAAGTTAGAAATCCGTAATCGATTCTAGTTGAAAACATAGCGATATCATTAGCGTTTTCAGTTATTCCATGGATATACATTGTAGACGCATTTGATTCCATAGAAAGAGGCAGTTGAAAGTAATACTCATCATTTGACGATATAGCCTTAAACGTGTCTTTATTCAAAACCGGCAACACAGAGGATTGGTGAAGTTGTGTGATCTGGTGGTGCGATGGCCACAACTGAATATTTTAGGTTGAGGTAACAGTCGTTAAGTATGCATACTCTAGGCTACAAATCTTTGTTACCACTGGAAGGGCGATCGACTACAGGGGAGATGTAATTACACCTTTTGGAAGAGGAATTCGGGTAGTGGATGTAGAGACAGAGCGAGAGAGAGAGTGAGAGAAGTGTTGCATAGGATATCGTCCCTCCGTGTTGTGCATGGTTCATCTGTTTACTTATACGCCTTGAGATGAGTGTTTAAAAGATGTGTGGTGTAACTTGAAAGAATAAGTAAGAGAAGGGTGTTTCAGTCACGATAATAAGTCATCCTATTCTTGATTGACTTACTGGATGTAATTTATTACAGTGGTATTGTTGTTGTTGTTGTTGTTAGACAGCTGGCACCTTGACTTGGTGGTTGGATGCGCTTATCTGCTGTAACACCTTGAGTGTCAGGAAACTTCCTTATCTTACACCTCTATGAGAGTTATATTTTGTCGTTGAGGGACATGCGTAACTTCAGTTCGTTTGTTTGTTATGTCTTTCTACTTGTGACTCACCTGTTGCTGTGATTAAATTCTATGACTGGTCATATTAACTGACAGACCGAGAACGCTTTATTATGAGCCAACAAAGACTGTGTACTTGCAGAGATGCGGAAGAGAGTGAGTTGCATGATACTCTCGGGAATATGAGTGTAGGTGAGTAGTGACGAGGCCAAGTTAATTTTCTGCTGGTCGCTGATTGGTTAGGTTATTACTGGTAATGTTTGGAACTGTATGATTATCTAATTTACAGATTTGTTCATCATCCTGTATAATGAATTGTTTAAACAGATCTTTAGGTGATATTTTGTCGTTAATTTTTCCTTCAGTCCACTGTTATTGTTTTACTAATGATTTATTCTGTTTTCAATGTTAAGTATTCAGTATTTCCTCAATAACTTAGTGGTTAAAGACGGTACATATCTAAAGAAAAAGCAACCGAACATGAAAAATATGTTGTTTTATCTTAAGCAGTGACCACCAGTGAAGTCGAAGAAGCACTTTTCTCTCTATTCGGTACTCGGATGTATACATACTCGTGTATTGGGGTTCTCACTGAAACTTCAACCTGATACATACCACATCGTCGTTATCCAATAGTTTGTGGAGTTACCTTAGACGCTTATTGTCCATTGATGATGTCGCTGATGATTTCCAGGAATGAATTTACCAGCTTCCTCCTGGGCAGATTCCTCCAGTATTCAAAGTGGTAAATGCTTGGATTGGGTCTCATTTGGAATATCAATGTGTGAGTGTGAGTACGTCCAACTGACGAGTCCTCAGAAGGACGAAACTCACCATCTTGATTCTGTTACTGCATACCACGAAATTCAGCCATAACCTCATCATTGACAGTATTCCACTGTCTATGAAAGAAGGTCATATGCTGAAAGGACCTGAGGAGTTTAATCCCGCCGTTAACGAATAAAAAAGATAAAAAGAAACACAGTGATTTCATCTCATCCCCCAAATATTGTTAATCACATTCATACCTCCTAGTGTTCTTATTTTTCGCATTCCTTTTCAGATCTGATTGGTTAGGACAATTGATGCCATTAGTCGGGATGGATTGGACTCATTCTCATATAGCTCATTTGTATGACAAAATCGCTCACAATGGATACAAATTTATATACTTATCCTCTCGGCCTATAGGCCAAGCCAGGGCAACTAGAAAATTGCTTCATGCAATTCAACAGGATAACTATCGTTTACCTGATGGTCCAATACTCTTATCACCATTTTCAGTTTTAGAAGCATTCCGGAAGTAAGTTATAGTAGAATGCGAAATTAATTGTTATTATCGGATATCAGCAAATCAGTGCGAATTTTCAGTAAATACAATGTGTTCATCATGGACTGACATCAGTTGGAGAACCACTGAAAATCTGAGAGAACTGGTTGACTGTTTCATCCTAATATCGGACTCCTCAGAAGTGTGCATCGGTGACCCCGCTGGGGGTCGAGTCAAGGATATTCAGTTCCTATTAATGATTTGAAGTAAGATTTTCGGAAATTCTATGGAGAAAGCCGTGACTGGTGGGGCAAACGAAGTCGTACATGAGGATAGGTACTCAACGACAGCATTGGATGAAGGTCTTGCTATATTACAAATAGCCAGAAGTAAGAAAACATGGACCATTGAATTCCTACCCAGTGTGTCAATTGTAGCGTATTGACCATGGAATTTGAAGGTCTTAGGTCCGATCTCTAGTGGGGTCATCAGTATGCACTACTGGAGAGTCTAATAGTAGGACGAAACTGCCACCCAGTCTCTCAGGTTTTCTATGGTCTTCAAAATGATATCACTCCATGATGATTACCGTCTAATAATCACTGAACTTTACAATATGATCATTCTCTTTATCGGACATATTTCCTATCAGAAAAGGCTTTACACAAGACAAATATTCGTTCTCACCATACTTGATCGTTTCTAGCACAATGTATATGCACAGATAACGATTACTGAAGTATGCAGGCAGTTGAAAGTATTGCAGAATTTCCTTGAATTGATTCAAAAGTAACCAGGTTTTACCCTCTCAAAGTCGCTCACAAGCACGATTTATCGTTTTGTCTAGTAATATATATGGTAAATATATGTAACAGGACCGATATGAAGACTGCCTTTAGGTCATAAGAACTGTCGAAGTTGTTGAGCACTTAATTTTTTAAAGATTCATTCAGGTAGAATCTTGTGTCTACTTTATGTTCTCAGGGGTAGTGTGCTTGAATTTCAAAGAAACTTTCATACTGTTCGACGCATCCAGCAAATTCAGAGCCTATCCTATGAAAACTCCAAACTGACTTGTTTGATCTACCGATCGAACAATATTTCAAGATGGTGACTTTGAAAGTTCTCTTTTAAGTATTCAGGCGACGGAAGTTTCTATTGTATGAGAAACACTGTCAGCTGCAACTTCCTTAGTTTGAGCCATGTAAAGAGGTGTAGACTACCTGGGTTGAGTCCACGAGATGATAGGAAACATTAATTGAGGACTCTCAGTGAAACGTCTGAAAAGCGATTACCATGGCACAGATGTATTCATTATTTGACATCTTCAACTGCCTACGCTAGCTACTGAAGATCAGATGGCCGGAAAATATAGGCAACAAGGAAGTCTGCTTAGCAACGAACCAACCAACAATCTATCGCTCAACAAATATGCAGAAGGAAGTGGAGACGGATTGGGCATGCACTGAGATCATTCGGGGACATCACGTGCCAGGCCAGTCGTTCGAATGGAACCCAGATGGGAAGCGACGAGTTGGGCGTGTGAGGTGACATGGAGGAGATCGTCCGAGGAAGAAATGAAAGCTTCTAGGCTGTCGTAGAACCAGGTTCGAAAGTTTGCAGAAAACAGAGTGCACTGGAGACGTGCTATTGAAGCCCTGTGTTCCATTAGGAACCCAAGAGACAAATAATAATAAAAAGCTTGAATATTCACACTAACCATTATCTTTGGATTGTTGATTCTTTTGCACAACTTTGTCTATTTTGGCATGAGTTTTTTTTTCGATCCATTTGTTCTTTATGTGCTACTATGAAGTGTGGTAAGTTGGACTGATGCGCTTATGTGCGAGGTTCGACGTTGATTCCGTCTCTTTTGGACTCTTATCCTTGTTCAGATAGTGTTGAATACTTTGTGCACTATCACCCTTAATTATTTAATTCATGTTAAGTTTTGTACCTCATATTAATAAAATATTTCATTGGCAATTAATAGTTGTCTAAGAAAGCAAAATGCTGGGTACTTTCTAGCTTCAGTATGCCCAATCACTTACACAATAAATGAACTTCTAGTGATACTATTTCTCACTGTTTCTTTTATTTCAGAGAGGTAATCTTAAAAAGAGCCGATGAACACAAAATTGAATGTCTTCGTGAAGTATGTGGCTTGTTTTCGTCTGGCGATGGCGCTAAAGATCAAGAGGAAAATATTCCTTTTGTTGCCGGATTTGGAAATCGACCAACAGATATTGCAACATATAAAGCAGTTGGTTTAGAAGATCATCAAATATTTACTGTCGACTACCTTGGCAATGTGATATGCGGTGATCCGGGCAAAGAGAAGAAAGCTAGTAACACAAATCCAAATCCACCAACCTGTAGCCCGAAATTAGATGAAGCAGTCGAATGTGTTTCCTCCTCTATGACTGCCACTCGTACAACCTCTTTCACAACATCGCCTACTAGAGTAACAACAGTTTACTCGAATAGTGTATTGGCTAAGCTGAATTTAGACGCGCTACTACAGATGGCAGATGTTTATTTTCCACAGATGAATGATCGACTTATCTATGCTACAAATTATTCAGATTATACATACTGGAGGATATGACCTCCTTCTAAGTCACACTGCATACTGGAGATTTCATCTACAGCATATGAACGCAATATTTTTAATGATATAAACTTTGGATAGCATTTATTATTATTGTTAGTAGTAACACTGTTAATTCAATGTGAGCGGTCTCCAATAGGCTATTTCAATAAACAGTTAACTTGTAGTTAGGTTTTCTTCATTGGAATATTGTCATCTGGAGGCAAGCGAGTCAAAAGAAGAGGGGGAATAAACTCATACCATGATAAGGTCGATGGACACCTCTCAAATAAACGATAGTGATGATGGCGATGGAAACAAGAACACACAAAAAGTGGATTATATGACACACACACGCACACACACACATACAGATGCATTATTTTATTGACAAGTTGTGTACCCTTGTATGTTAGGCATTAAACATAAACACAGGCACATAAATGAACTTAAAACCAAAGGTATACATTTGCACACATACTTATGTAAATTGATTATTTGTTGATTAAGTGTTCTTGCTTACATATTTATCAGTGACCTAGGAATGGAAAGATAGAAAACATTATTTACAAACAAAAAATATCGTACCACTAGGCTAGAATCATGACGTTCTAGATGTATCATAAAGTTTAACCAGCCATACTGTGTTAAATGAGAGAGAAAGAGAAAGCTTTTTTGTATGTATTATCATTGATTATAATCCCTCAAAAGCCTTAAAATCTAAATGATGGAAACAGAATTTACGGCTGTAATGACAGACAGTCACCAACAGAAGAATCCAGGACGTACGTTTCGTCTTACTTGGGACTCGTCAGCTGGACATACCTACCTTCCAGTGAGTGATTTTGTTCCCACCGTGACCCCAACCCAGTACCCATCACTTCAAACGCCAGAGCATCCACTAGGCTACTGGGTCTCAATAGCCACTTCTTGTTTGACAGGCGTTGTTTATGTGTTTTTACTTGTAATATCTCGTCGTTGATTGGTTCGAATTGATCGGTCTTTATTAGTATATGGGCTCCTACGTGGATACCTTGATATGGTAGTATGGTAGTAATGATGAATAGTGGCTAACATGGGGACCCAGGACGCCCGTTCCTCTCTATCTGTGACTCTTCAACTGGATTTACGTGCCTCCCATTGAGTGCTGTTGTTCCCACTGAGATTCGAACTCAAGCCATTGTGTCTCAATGGCTCTAACCTCTGAAGTGATCGGCCGGAACGCGGGTCCTTGACTTCACTGCGAGCTACTATCCATCATTACTACCAAACTGAAACTCCAGACAGTATCGATGCTTCCATGCAGGAGCCCATATGCCAATAGAGACCAACCAATTCGGTTCAATCAACGATGAGGAATTACAAACAATATCATAAGAATTTGTTGGAGCTGCGTTGACCGTCTACATGATATCAGTGGTAAATGTCCGCAGCCGAGAACACAGACAGGATCAATGTGCTGCGGTAAAAATTACCCGTCGTTTAAGAATGCCGACTGTTGGATTTTCTAAATTCGATGACTTACTGCTGCTGTGAGAACATGCCATCATGAATTTGTTTCAAAATGATAGAAATGAAAAGTATGCACTCTTGCTAAGCAAACATAAAAAGAGAATAGAACAAAATGTAAGAGTTAACTGTCTAGAGCATTATTTACTCTTTTTTGAAGTGAGTACAGCATACAAACCAGTGACCAGTTGGTCTCTAATGTAGCTTACAAGTTATCAGTGCTGATCCAAGTTTATTTGTATTTCACCCAGTTATTCATAAGCACCTAAATTGACAGTAAAGTAGGCTGGACTAATTACGTGATAAAAAAAGCCCTGTTTAACAAACAAAACTCGCCTACAAAGATTACTGAAAATAGTACAGTACGGTGTTAGTTTCACGCCGTGTAAATTTATTATAATACTACACGTTTTGTATCTAGCTCACATACATTCACACATGTGTACCGTCTTTTCATGATTCACTGATTAACTCACCACCCTGTAGTTGATAGTACATGCATAAACAAGACTACTAACTGTGACAACGCGTACAAATGATCACTAACTAATTAATGTGGTTTCATTAAGTTAATGAAGCAATTAGACGTGCGGTTAATGAACGTGTGGTGGTGTTTGTAAAAGAAGCGATATGTTATCACCTTTCATCATTTCTCTTACTTATGAGTCTGTTGGTTGATGCCTTCTTTTGTGATACATTGAATCATGTGATGTTAAATGGTGTACGTCTTGTGAATAAGTCACACACTGGCAACTGACTTCAAGGCCATTTTAGTAACAGAAAGTAATCAGGTTTCGGTATTTTGCTTGGAAAAGTACTTTTTGATAAAATAAAAAAATGTGGTTGGCTGTTAGGGTGGCCGTTAAAGTCACTCGAAAAACTGGCTTTCTGACTGGGATGTAGATACGTAAATGTTTAATCCAGCGATTATTATTATTATTATTATTATTATTATTATTATTATTATATTATTTGTCTCTTGGGGTCCTAATGGAACACAGGGCTTCAATAGCACGTCTCCAGTGCACTCTGTTTTCTGCAAACTTTCGAACCTGATTCTACGACAGCCCAGAAGCTTTCATTTCTTCCTCGGACGATCTCCTCCATGTCACCTCACACGCCCAACTCGTCGCTTCCCATCTGGGTTCCATTCGAACGACTGGCCTGGCACGTGATGTCCCCGAATGATCTCAGTGCATGCCCAATCCGTCTCCACTTCCTTCTTCATATCTCTTGAGCGATAGATTGTTGGTTGGTTCGTTCCCAGAGCGAGTTCCTTGTTGCTTATTCTTTCTGGCCATCTGAGGTTCAGTAACGAGCCAGCGTAGGCAGTTGATGAATATCTGTAGTTTATTGGAAATGACTTTTGTAACGCGCCAAGTCTCTGAACCATATAGAAGCACTGACTCGATATTAGTGTTGAAAATCCGGATGCTGTTCACGCTTTATGCTGAGTGGAGTGCAGAAGATCTCCACACTGGTTTCAGGCTAATGAACGCCCGTCTTGCCGCCTTTCCGATCCTGGCTTTGACGTCTTCGTCTGTGCCTGTGTCGCCTGTAGTTGAAACAGTGCTGCCTAGATAGGTGAAGGAGACAACTTCCTTTAAGTTTCTCCCGTTGGTGGTGTTGGTTGAGTATCTCCATCACATATGTCTTCTCCACGTTCACCTAAAAGAAGTCCCGTCTTCGCTGCCTCGCCTCTTCTGTCAATTTGGTGGATTTTGCCTGTAGATCTTTGACTTTGTGCGACAGAAGAGATTACACATAAATCATAGTCGAAATCCAAATCTTCTAGGCTCTTTTCATCGGTTTGCTGCATAACCCAGTCCACCACAATCAGGAAGATGATGGGTGATAGTAGACAGCCTTGTCTTACTCCTGTCTTCACTTCAAAAGCGTCACTGAGCTTCCCGTTGTGAATTACTTGGCATGTGGTCTTTTCATAAAGTTGTTGAATGAGATTGATAAAGGTTTGTGGTATTTCGTAGTGTTGAAGCAGCTGCCTGCCAAATTACCTCTGGGTCAATGCTGTCGAAGGCCTTTTCAAAATCGATGAAATTGAGGTAGAGAGTTGACTGTTATTCTATACTCTATTCTGTGATTATGAATTGCGTTGCAATTTGATCCCCACATGATTTGTTCTTCCTGAAGCCCGCCAGCCTGTCTCGTTCGTAGTTTTGAATCCAGTGCATCCTTTAGTCTCTTCAAGATGATGCGCCCTAATATTTTGCTTGTTTTGTGTGGACAATGGCATGATTCCGCGCCAATTCTTGAAATGACTTAAGTCGCTTTTCTTCAGGAGTTTGACAACGCAGCCCTTCTTCTTATCTGTAGGTACCTTCCCTTCCTTCCAAACCTTCTGCAATATTGGTGTGGTGTGAGCATGTCCGCTGTTGTCTCTGCGTCTGCTGTCAGTGCTTGTGGCGGAATTCCATCTGGTCCTGCTGCTTTCGCACATTTCAGTAGCTTTATGGCGTTCAGGACTCCGACTTTTGTTGAAGGATTTGTGTTCACTTGTAGTTCTGTGACCGCAAGTGGTATTTGTGGACGAAGTGCAGGTGGTGGTCGATTCAAGAGTTTTTTGAAGTGGTTGGCCCGCTGTTTCCTTTGTTTCTCTTCTTTCGTAATTAAATTTCCGTCATCATCTTTTACTGGTTTCATCTGCGTTGATCTCTTCCCAGATAATAACCTGTTTATATGATAAAATGTTGCCTGCCTGTGGAAGTGTCTTTTGTCTTTCCGTGCACTCTTCTTCACTTCTTTGTCCAGTGTTTTATACGTTGTACTCAGTCCCTCTCCTCGTTGTTCATCCTTGCACTGGTTTATCTTCTGTTTCACCATCTTCTCCCTGCTGTATCAGCTTGCATGTGTCCATCGAGGTCAATTCTTTGTGTTCTTTCTTCTTCCTTCCTAATATGGTTATGCAGGTTTCCTTCCACATAGCATTTCAAGATTTCCAATTCCGAGTTCCACCCCCACAGGTAACTCCAGGGATGCAGCTCGATGCCTCCAATTTTGTCCTGATAGCTAATGTGCAGACTTCCTTTGCAGTTGCGTCCTTCAGTTTCTGTTCTGGGTGTTGAACTTCAACTGTCGTCTATTACCAACTACTTTCACGGCTTTCAACTTGATTTAGGAGTTAGGTTCCTTGCACTAGACAGTGAATGGTCTGAACCTGACTACATCTGCTCACCTCATTGACCTCGTGTCAAGTAGGCTGCGTCTCCACTTTCTTCACATTGACATGAAGTCGATCTGATTCTCAGTGTAGTGTGTCCATCTGGTGAAATCAACTCCATGTCACTTTGTGGATATCCTTGTGCTTGAACACACTGCCTCCAATCACCAAATCGTTGAATGTGCAGAATTCTGCAAACAGTTCTCCATTCTCGTTCATTTCACCGAGTACTTCTCAACCCATGATGAGTTCTCTTCCTGTTTGGCATTCATGTCACCTCGTCCATTAGAATTTCGATGTCGCCAACTGGTATGGGGTCTTGTCCAGTGTT